TGTTTTCTGCAGGGCAGAGAGAGCAAAGCTGAGATTCCAGAGAGGGCCTAATGCAAGATACACCTTGAATTAACGTTTTGGCAAGGAAGTAGTAAGAGGCTTTTGAAAAAGAAAGGACAAGGCCAAGACCAAGACCTGATCAACACTTGATTGAAGAAAGACCAGAAGGTTAGGCATAGAAATGTCTCTCAGATCGAGGTACTTGTGTTCACAATAGGCAAACAAGGATTTCCAGGTACAATGCTAGATATTTTAGTAAATGGCTTTTCTGTCTTTTAGAAAAGTAGGAATGACAGTGTGGCCTGTTGGTAAGAGGCCAGGCATCATCTCCTAGAAGTGTGAGTATGTCTGTGTACCAGGTCCTTCTGGGCCAGTTTGGTGCAATCAGAAACAACGTCTTGCTCTATCTTGCTGAGCAGATGTGTGGTAACATTTGCACTGGAGCAAAAGCATAAATTAGTCTGAACTGATCAGGGCATCCAAGGCCAGCACTAGAAGATCCTTGGTCCTGGCCACAAACTGGCCAGCAGAGATCACTGGGTGATGAGTTTCTGTTCATGAGATGATCTGACTTTATTCTTTCAGGGCTGAAAGGCTCCTGTTGTCCCCTTAGTGGTTTCTGTAGGATACAGCAGTGGCATTGACTGGCTGCACCCTGATTGGGTGTCCTCGCAGAAAGGGTGTCCTGTGTTATAGAGCCATCTCTGAGCTTCAAAATGTTGATGCAGAGCTTGGTTTACGTAGGTGACCATATTCCCTATACCATGAAGGAATGGAACACTCCTCCCCAGCCTGAAAGACTGGCATCTGTTGTTATCACTTTCCAGTGCCAGGGAAGGAAGGATGCCAGCATTGTCAAGGTTGGGAATCCACTAAGTTAAGGAATTCCTTGACTGCCTGGATAAAAGCATAGGCAGGTCAAGAAGAGTATGCTTGTTCCAATTCAACAAAGTGTTTTGTTTGAGAGGTCTTGAATGGAACTGGATAAATGGTACAGCCTCAAAGGAGGCTACCATGAGGTCTAGAACTCTCATGGAAAATCTCTTTGTGGGATGTCTCCTTGACCTTAATTCTGGAGTGTGGACTCAGAGGATCTTCTTTTCTGGAACAAAAACCTTTGCATGGGATGTGTCCAGGACATGACCCAAGTATTCCAGATACAGAAAGGCCTGTAGGGCACATTATTGAAAAATGATCACCCAAACAAAGGTCAGGAGCATTTGGATTGTCCTGTGGACATTTGCAGCCAGCTAGAAGGGATAGGGGTCCTCCAGGAGAAGGTCATCCAGATAACCCATAATCTGGGTGCCCTGAATTCTGAGAAGGGCAAGAAGAGGCATTAAGACCTTTGTACATACTTTTAGAGCAAAGGATAGGTCAAAAGGCAGTGCAGAAAACTGGAACTGACTGTCTATCACTGCCAAGAACAATGAGAGCACCCTTTCATTTGGAAGAGTGGCTTTGGGGAAGACTTGCTGGTCTCTGCGAACCAAGTTTTGGGCCAAAAGGAAGGGCTGATCTTGGGGTTGAAAGTGGTTAGGTGCTCTGCATTTTGGAGACAGAGAGAGAGAGAGAGAGAGAGAGAGAGAGAGAGAGACTCTTTTTGGAGGGGGGTTTCGGAATCTTCCAATATGGCAGTAAAACATTCCCTCCTGTGATATCTTAAGAACTGGTCTAGTGCCTCCCCAAAACAGATGCTTTCCTTGAAAAGCCATACGTGTGAGGCATATTTTACAGGTGGCTTCAGCTGTCCAGGCTTTTAGACACAGATGTCTGTGCATGTGAATGAAGATTAGGGCCATTCTGGAAATTTGTCGCATGACATATTCTAGGTTCCCTCTTGCCTGGTCTCTGCCATAGCTATGGATGAGGGTATTCTACTGTAGGGTACTCAAAGTAGGATGCAGAATATAAGGTAAGGTGCCCAAAAGGAAAATGCAGTAACCCGGGTGTAGACTGTCCTGTAACAAATCCTCATGGTGAAAGGGCGGAAGGAGGCACCTGAGTACCTAATAAGTATTCTAGGTGGAAGTGGCCATAAAGTGTGCAACCTGTGGTGTGCTGTCATCCACCTGAGACTAAGCTCTGTGTGATTAAGCTTTAGAATCAAGTTTGAAAAGTTTATGCTAAAATGAATACAATCCAAGTATAGCCCCAGTCTAATAGTCAGAGATACAGGGTGACCCTGTCTTACCTGTCCACAGTGCTGGACTGTAAAGTCTTGGCTTCACCTGGACTGAGTTCCATAGCGACGGACCATGAGTTGGAGTACTCTGTGACTGACTACATGCCATGAACTAACTGCAATGGTGAGTGCCCATGCAGGATCCAGTGCCTAAAGCAACATTACAGGCTGCCTCCATGGGGTGGGATCTAAGTACCCCTTCCAAGATTTTACCAATTTGGATGCATTGCTTTTATCTGTGGCATTAGATGACAGTGAAGTGTTGATTGAAGAATTCCAAGATAAAATAATAAAGGAAAATAATAAACTAGTTAAGCTAAGAGTGATTTCACCGTGAAGTAGAAGTCCATCACCTTAGGACACCAGCAAAAAACTGAGAACTCACGAAAAGAGGTGGGGTTATAGAGGAGGTGACCAGTGGGCATGTCTTTGAAAGCCTGCCAATTTTTAATCACAGAAAGGTATAATCCTATAACCCAAGGCCTATGAATACTTTGCCTGTCCCTGTACTGTACTATTGATATATGTGTTTTTTTTTTTTGTCTTGGATAGAGTATGGAACCCCGTCAGGTTTTTATTGCTTTAACTGTGCTCCTGTTGGAGAGATTCAACCTCATAAAAAGGGAGCCTTCCCATGTAGGTAATTTTTTGCAATGGCAACGGTCTGTGAATGGATTTCCCTCACTTTGGGGACACTTCCTCCCTCTTTCAGTAGAAAAAACGTTTTACCTTTCTCTATTCAAATTTGTAGAAAGCCTAGCTTTAGCTACACTTCAAAAGGATTTTACTGAAAAATTATACATTTTCTCTCTGTCAGGCACCTCAAAGATTTTCAAAACAAAATGCAATCCACGAAAAACAATAAAAAATCCCATCAGTGTGAATGACCACAGTGTTTGGCAAACTCAAAAAAGGTGAAGATGGCCCTGCAGATAAATTCTGCAGTTGCAGCCACATATTCCTGTACATAGAGAGGGATGGTGACCAGCTCATGCTACCACACATGTTACAGGCATGTGGGGCTTTCCTTTTTCCTGAAATCACCTGTAATTTTTGGCTAATGATACTTAAATTTACTTGAATTAAATATGATGAATGGTGAGGAAAAATACCAGGAAGCAGGCGGATGCTTAAGTTCATGCACATTTTATTGAGTAGTAATATAAAATGCTTTTTTTGTCATTGTTACACGTGCATGCTTCGATTGCCAACATTTCAGAAGTCAAATTACAAAGGCAAGGCTTTAGGCTGTAGTGAATTACTTGGGCACTTAAACAACTGTTAGAAAATATCAATGGACTTTAATTTGATTCAATTAAATTTATTTTTGATGTTGTTAGAAGGAGTCAATAATAACCCGTAACTCATATTATAAAGGGAAAAAAAAGTGAAAAGAATTACACATTTGTGGCACATGACGTAACATAACAGAATGACCAAACTATTATGACACTAACAGTTATCATGCACTTAAAGTTTCACATGTAACCACAAACTTATTTTAAATTTCACAAGTTTTGCTAAACATGCTAACCATATATATGTGTGCACTGACAAGCGTATGTTATAAAACATTAAGAATATTCTTTTCTCCTCTTTAGATTTTTTCAAAGCTTTTTCTTTGATTACAAAATTTCAAAGGCATTAAGCGTTTTAAGAGAATATAAAGTATGCCAGATACATACATTTCCAGTATAAGTCCAACCACTAAGCGCATTACAGTCTGATACAGGCCTATACAGCCAATTTTGTCATAAAAAACATGCATAGGCGGATTTTTACAGAATATAGATGCTTTTCACTGCACTTAATATGGTGTCTTGTTCACTATACTTAAAAATGCACCACTCATAAATATTAAAATTCAGCAAGCCACAACCAATACTTTATTTACCAAAAAAACGTAGATAGAACAGCAAAAAAATAGAATGATTATCATTATTCCAGTTTTGCTTATTAAAGAAAAAAAAAAAAAAAAAAGATATTCACTGCCAAATAGGTAAGCTAAGTGTTCTATAAGTAAGAAGGGCATTCAAGCACAATAATGTAACCTGAGGTAAGCATAATCTGTACAAAATTAAACTTTCCTTTTTTTGGCATCTTTAAACAAATTTGTCAACATTCTTATATTTTTTTATTTTTTTTATTTTTTTTTTCTTTGCATTTGTCCTTTTCCTTGCTAAAGCAATGCACTGAAGTCCATGTCCCAGCACCAGTGACATTAAGACTTTTCAGATTTGTGGTTTGGGTTACACGTACTCTGCTGGAGAGGCTTGCAATTCATTATAACAGAGATGCAACTGCGAGCAGCTTCGACAGAGTGAGGAGCAGTGGGGAAAACAATGAGCCAATCTGACAAGAGTAACAAAACATCATCAATAAATAGTCCTTATTTTAGTTTGTACATTATGTTAAAAATGTTTAATGTCTATTTGTAGTTTAGAGCTGCAAATGTAAACATACAATAGTTAGTAAGAAATTAGACAAATATGTACTGTATGTTCAGTAACTAAAAGAAGGCCTTTCAGTAATGTAAATAAAGGTTCCAATGCCATTGGAAAATATGTTCTATATAGGTCAGCAATATTTTTGTGTATATTTTCTACAAGCATTTATAGGCATATCCAGATGAGGCAAGGGCCCCCACTAAAATAGATCAGACTATATTTCTTTAGATGACATTGTAAACTGAATTATTCATCACCAACCCCAGAGTAAGTAGCATTTACCCAAATCAAGATCACCCATTTGCTGATATGCAGCAATCCTGACATGCCTTGCAGCTACAAAAAATATATTAATGAACAGGAAGTGGTCACTGAATATTGCTGCTGTTGCTGCCATTGCTGTCAGTGCCATTGGTCTCTGAAGAAATAGCCTTGTTGATAGAATTAAGGTTGGCATCTGAAGGAATAGCATCTCGACGAGGTGGCATCCTTTCGTTAATGCGGTCCAAACCCTTGGCCTCTTCAAAGCTAGTAATCTTATGCTGTGGCGAGAATCCTTTGATTGCTACATAGAAAAGGTCAAAAGTATAAAACAAATATTGTTAACACAATCAAAAAATGCATTATAAGTTTTTAAAAAATAATAATTCACATGATATGGAGTGGGAAAACACTGGATTTAAAATCAAAAAAACAAAAAACATAATGCCACTAAAACAAAATAAAACAAAATGCTATCCATTTGAGTTCAGCTCATTTGTTTTTCTTTCATTTTTATTCTCTGCACAGTTTGAAAAAGCTTGTCTTTTGTTAAAAATAAATCACAAAATAGTTTTGGTTGCTTTAAAAACTGTACATACAAATGAATGTAATATTGCTGGAACACATTCTTCATAATAAGCTTTACCCAGAAATGATGTAGAGTACACACCATCTAAAATATTACACACAAGCCTTAGGGTTCTGAAACAAAAATAAATTGCAATGCGAACAACACGGAATACATACTATAGCTGTGGAATAACAATTTTCTTTTTAAATATACCACTGTGTATGTAGGTAATTGATCTTTGATGTGTTGATAGATTTCCTATATGATATGAATGCCATTAAGCTCAAAACAAACATAAAAATATTATGCCTACAATAGTTTGTATAATTGTACAGTTCACCAAAAAACCTCAAAAGACAAAATCAAATATATGCAAATTTTAGAGTATCTACTAAGTGTGAAAAATGTGCAGTAAAGCTAAAAGGGGCAAATGCATTAATTGCTAAAGACCACAGATTGACTTCAGGAAAATTTTAGAAAATGTATTTAACTTCATCTTCTTAATATTCCTGTAACAGCAGGTTCTGTTAAGATCACAAAGCATTGATAATGAAGCACTATTTATAATGCTTTCTAAACATTTGATGGTCAATAATATGCCTCAGTGAATGTCTATATAGTATCACCACAAAATCGGGTGCCTTGATTAATTTTTAAACCAGACTAACTACGTACCATAAAATACTTTTGAAAACACATTAAATACATATTTACGCATATAAAACAGAATTTTTAGTGCACAGACTAGCAATAATATAATTATATTAGTTATATAATGGTTCATAATAAAACTAAGCTATGAGCAAATCCTACTACAACGTATCACATATCTTGTACAATGGTATCTGAAGCCTTTATTTGAGGACAATCAATGCATGACAATGTGTAATTTCTTATTTTGTTTTAACTTCCGATTTTCCCTAAACTCTAGTGCAGATGTTTTCAAATATATCGACCATGAAACTATACTAAACCAAGGAGTTTTTGCTTTAAAATACATATTATCTACTTGAGATGAACTCCCGTGGACAATTTGACCTATGCTGAATATAAACGAAAAAAATGAATGACCCAACTGTTTTATACAACTCATATTAAAGTGAAAGCACACAGTAGTTAGATTAGGTTAGGAAGCATGGAAGGGAAAGAAAAGCAAAGGCCATATCAAAGCTTCTTAAAGTGCCTCTCATTTTAACATACAAAAAAAAAAGTAAAAAAAAAAAAAAAGCAAATGAAGACCAACATTTTGCTTTAAGTTTTTAAATTTGGAAATTAAAAGTGATAAATTAGATATGAAATGGAAGCAATTTAGTAGTTTTAGTCGCTATTAAAGCTAAACAACTATATTCAAATTTTCTGCGGGTAATGAAAATTTGAATTAAAAAAAAGTTGGTCATACATTTGAAAATCCCACATAAGGGATTTCAAGAAGACAGCAATGGGCCTTGGGGAGGAATATTTTTTTTTTAAGTGAAAAGGCTTCACTGACGGGTAAAGTGCTGTGCTAAGTTTACTGGTTTTATTTGGGAGCCACTTAACTACACGGCTGTAATGTACATAGAAATAAATGTTTATTTTCGCATACTGTAAAAACTATATATACATTTATATTATCTATCACACTCATTTAAAGGCACGTTATCAAAATTATTCTAGCTATTCTTAACTGCTGCAAACAGCTTGCACTTACCACTTAATTTTTTAATAGTGGCGTATTTTTTCTTTTAAAACAATACGTGGGCGTGTCTATGTAAATTCATTAATGATCATGATCTTTTATATTTCAATTACTTATGTACAACTTCAAAATTGTACATTTATTTAACAATATGCAATAACATTCTTTAAAATTGCAGAACATATTAGTCATTGTGTACTATAAACTGCTGCCTATGACATTGTATAGGCATTGTTTTGCTCAAGTAACATTTTCTGCAACTTAAAATAGAATAATATATTTAAATTATTTAACAATAAAACAAACGAACACTAAACTTTCTTCTATACAAAAGTGACTTACTGCCGTTTAGTAAATGAGGCCCAGAAAGTGTTAGGAATTTACACCAATATTATACTACACACAACACAAAGTCACAGATATCACACAAAACGGCCAAACTGGCAACAACAATGCACACTGCAAATTAGATTTTGCTGATAGGAATAGACAATTCCAACATAAATAACAGCCCAATGTGCTGCTATTTAGAGAACAGTTGTATTTTCTCTTGCCGATGGGTTTCAAAAATTTCCTTTGACCATACTGAAGATCTTTTTCCTACGGAAAACCAATCACGGCATTCAATTTGGAGTGAAAAGAGACAAAAGTCCAGGTTCAAGAATAAAATACAACTGAAATATTGTTTTAAAGGGGAACATTTGTGGCTAAGAACAGAGAGAAAAATGTGCCCATATTTTTTTTTTTTTTTTTTTGTAATTAGAATAAAAATAATATACCTGTAAACTCCTAAAGAGTTTTGAGTTGAGCTTGCATATATATTAATTTCACCTTGATTATTTTGCTTAGATAAATACACCATCTCTGACAAATGCTGGTGTGTTTCTTCTTTTGCCTTCTTTTTAAATAAATATAAGGATCGATGTGGGCAAAAGCAACATTTCAATCATAAATGCAAATATGCGTATGCTGTGTAATGGGTAAAATCCATTTTTTTATTATAAAAGGTTGTTGACAAGTTAAAACTAATGAGTTTGAAGAGAAACACATTGAATCGTGACTGTCACATATATTTTAGCAGTGGCTCTGCTCTTTATAACCTTGATGAAATATATATATATATTTTGTTAGGTAATATTTGCTATGCTGATAACAGATACTACATTCCCCTTTAAAGCAAGCACATTTGGTTAATACTTAGCCACAATCGTTAGCCCAACACCCACACACTTTTTTTACAAGCTACAGCAAAATAGATACACCCAGCAGGACCCTTGTCTGCTGCAAGGGCAACAGAAAGGGGGCTTGCCAATTACCTTCATCGGCCTCTATAGCCTCAACAGTAGCTAAAGAGAAGAAAGGGTAGCAAAATGGATGAGAAAAATGAGCAGAGGATTTCAACTCTTATGAATCAGTCAGTGAGCAGCAAAGATGCAGGTGAACTAATGTTACAGTAAGTGCTGGATTTGGTTTGCACAAAAGACAACATAAATGCTTGACAGAAGAAAGGCTGAGCTCAGCTATTGTTTATTATTTCGCAGCTTTCCCATCCAGGAACGGTTAGATGTATACAAACAGGATATTTGCAATTAAGAAAACAGCTTTGCGGTTGTTAAAGACAGCAGCTACAAAGGACTCTCTTGCTACAGACATCAAGCTCAAGATTATATAAAACTATTTTTTACAATACGTTTTCAGAAAGACAAAGTTTTTACATTTCATACCTGCATTACGGCTAGAGCTAAATAGTAAAAAATAGCTCAGAGTAGGTTGAGAATTAAAGTGAACCTGTTGTCAGGCTATAGATAGTCAAGTATGTAGATATTCTTAACAAGCAGTAAATGAGCTTTAAACCATCCCTCGCTGATCTATGTAGCTACAGGCTCCGAGGAGCAATTTTTTTTCAGCAGAACCACTAAAGTCACTAAAGTTCAGCTTACCTTGCTCCAGCTCCTTGGGCACTTTGTATTTAAATTGTAGATTAGAAGAACGAAAGGAAAACCTTATTAGTACTTCTGCTGTGAATTTTTGTGGATGAATTGTTCCACAGTGACTGTAGCTACAGAGGTCAATAAAAGTTTATTTTAAAACTCATTTGCCACTTGTTAAACTGATTGTAAAGGCTCCAGTTTTTTTCAAAACAACAAACATGTCATACTTACCTGCTCTGTGCAAAGGTTTTGTAGAGCAGCCCCGATCCTCCTCTTCTGGGGTCCTCCCAGCTCTATCCACTCTTCCCCCCTGCTGAGTGCCTCTATAGCAAGCTGCTCGCTATGGGGGCACTCCCGAGCCCTGCTCCCTCCTCGCTGATTGTGACAAACAATGTCTCCCACTGCTGTCTCTAAGCCAATGAGGAGGGAAAGATTGGAGAGAGCTACTGATCTTGTGCACATCACTGGATCGACATCAGGCTCAGGTAAGTATAAGGGGGATCTGGGGGGAGTACATAGGTTTTTTACCCTAATGCAGAGAATGCATTACTACTGTAAAAACCTTCAGCCTTTGGAACAACTTTAATAATTTGAGAAAACCGTACAAAGTTCCTTTTAAGGTTATGGCAAGTCCCCAATGGGACTGTATTGTTTTAGCAATTCATAGCAATATCTACCTGCAGGCATCCTGAATTTACTGGCTAGTACAGAGCTTCCATTATTAAAGTGCAATTTTCAACTGAACATTTTCTTCTTGGAGGTTTAGAAAATGCAGCTCTAGCTACAATTCTTTATTTTAATCCATAGCTGTCCCATCTCTGCCACAAGTTGTCCTTAGTTCACTCAACCCAGATAACTGGGGTATACTCTGAGTGCAGGGCATCCAGAGGGGGGAATCACCACTGAGCCTTGCACTTAGTGTATTGGTGAAGAGGGTGAAGCTAACATCACATTAGTGCCGATCTCTGTATCAAGATAGACCACTGGGAGAAAACTGAAGTGCAAGAGGACCCTATCCATAATGTCACCAGTTTAAAGACATCTGGAAAAGACAGGTAGGCAAAAAACAAATAATAAAATACTGCTGGGAGACAGGAGTCTGGAGTTGGGTTTTTATGGCAATGTGGACTATATGTTTGCCGTGTTTATATATTCATTATATAGACTGAGGTCCAAAAACGAATACTATAAAAAGGCAACAAATATTCTAACTTCATGTTATGGATTGTTTGATGGTATGAAGACACTGGCAAAAATAAAAACTAAGAGGTGCTAACCCTGGTATTCTCTATCCAAAACGAATAAAACAAGGTTTTGCTGGACTACATTCCGTAGTTGCTAGTACTACTCTCTGGTTCACACTACTTTCTGCATTTTCTGTTAGAAGAGTATTGAGGAACTACTACATTTTCATCCTCTCTTTCGGAAGCCAGTATAAATTATTGGGGATTAAGACATGTAGGATCAATCTGCAGATGTGGCAGTACGAAATTAGTAGACACTTGAGACAACAGAATAGGAAGACTACAGGGTTACGTTCTTAAAAATGCCAAGATTAATTCTAACATGCAGCAAGTGATATTCGGCCTTCTGAACCAGAATCATGTAATGCTTAATTTAAAACTATATACTAAATATACATAGTTCTTCATCAAACACATTTAAGCAGGCAACTTTATAACACCAACTTTTCACTACAATAAGTGACACTATTTCAAGCACAATTAGGATATAATAATAAGCATATCACATTTCAATATATAAAGTATCTAGCATTAGATAAAGGAGGGCTTCTTGTGATTAATTTATATACCTTTGACACAGGTGGACTGCTAATTTAATATAACAAGCCATGGCTGGAATGTAAGCACGAACAATTAAAAACACACCTAATAATAAACAAAATCACACTCTACTCACAATTGTTACTACCCAATATAGACAGGTAAAAATAGACCCTTAGCAGGGTTGCACTGATACAGATACCGGTATAGGTGCTGATACTGAGCATTTGCACTTGTACTCATGGAAATGCACCGATACCTTTACAGTGCGATATGAGCTTATACAAAACGAATGGACTCACATCGCTCTGCAAAGAATTACATGTGATTTGAACAGGAATGCAGTGCAATTCCTGTCTGAATCATGTGGTTTACCTGCAGGTGTGGTGCGATTTGAGCCATAAAAAAAAAATGAATGGCTCAAAATCGCACTGCAAATCCCACCATAGGGAAATCGCATGTGATTCAGACAGGAATCACACCGCATTTCTGTTTAAACTGCATGTGATTCTTTGCAGTGCTATTTGAGCCTATTTATCTTGTATGAGCTCAAATCGCACAGAGTACTTGAGTACAAATATCGGTACTCAACTTGCTGATAAAAAAAAAAACAGCACGTAATGTCCAAACAGGAATGGAAAGATAAACTGCTGGGTATCACTCCACTGTTAGTAATCATTATTTGTATATCATCCATGAGACACACACACACACACAGACACACACGTCTTACTGGCCTACTCACAAGTATGGAAAATATATGCAGGGACAAATTACAGAAAAGTTTTCTTTTTTAATTAAAAAAAAAAAAAAAAAAATCACACACATACAGTATATACTATATTGCCCAAAGTATAGGGACACCCCTCCAAATCATTGGATTCAAGTGTTCCAATCACCTCCATAGCCACAGGTGTATAAAATCAAGCACCTAGGCATGCAGACTGCTTCTACAAATATATTTGTGAAAGAATGGGTCGCTCTCAGGAGCTCAGTGATATCAAGCGTGCTACTGTGATAAGTTGCCTTCTGTGCAATAGGTCCATCCGTGAAGTTTCTTTGTCACTAAATATTTCACGGTCAACTGTTAGTGGTATTATAACAAAGTGGAAGCAACTGAGAACAAAAGCAACTCAGGCACAAAGTGGTAGGCCACGTAAAATGACAGAACGAGGTCAGTGCATGCTGAAGTGCACAATGAGCTAAAGTCGCCAACTCTCTGAAGAGTCAATAGCCAAAAACATCCAAACTTCATGTGGCCTTCAGATTAGCACAACAACAGTGCATAGAGAGCTTCACGAAATGGGTTTCCATGGCCGAACAGCTGCATCCAAGCCTTACATTAGTGCAATGCAAAGCGTTGGATGCAGTGGTGTAAAGCACGCCGCCACTGGACTCTAGAGCAGTAAAGAATCACGCTTCTCTGTCAGGCAATCCAATGGATGTGTTTGGGCTTGGCGGTTGCCAGTAGAACGGCACTTCCCAGACTTCATTGTGCCAAGTGTAAAGTTTGGTGGAGGGGGGATTATGGTGTGGGGTTATTTTTCAGGGGTTGGGCTTGGCCCCCTTAGTTCCAGTGAAGGGAACTCTTAAGGCGTCAGCATACCAAGACATTTTGGACAATTTCATGCTCCCAACTTTGTGGGAACAGTTTGGGGATGACCCCTTCCTGTTCCAACATTACTGTGCACCAGTGACCAAAGCAAGGTCCATAAAGACCTGGATAAGTGAGTTTGGGGTGGAGGAACTTGACTTGCCTGCAAACAGTCCTGACCTCAACCCGACAGAACACCTTTAGGATGAATTAGAGTGGAGACTGCGAGCCAGGCCTTCTCCTCCAACATCAGTGCCTGACCTCACAAAGGCGCTTCTGGAAGAATGGTCAAACATTCCCATAGACACACTCCTAGACCTTGTGGACAGCCTTCCCAGAAGAGTTGAAGCTTTTATGGCTGCAAAGGGTGGGCCAACTCAATATTAAACCCTACGGACTAAGGCTGGGATGCCATCAAAGTTCATGTGTGTGTAAAGGCAAACCAACTAATACCATTGGCAATATAGTGTATGTTCAATAATTTATATCCATGTAAGGAGCCCTCAAAAAAGGCATGCCATTATTAAACAAAGTATAACAAATTACAAGCACAGCTCTACAGAATACCTGACTACTGCTAATCTGTAGAATCCAAAATCCATCCACAGTGGACAATCAACCTTATTCACTAAGGGGCCCCTTCACATTGCCCTGCTGCCGGAACAGCGCTTTGGGCTACAGAACTGGCACAATGCACATTTTATTGCATCACACAGATCCTTTTTTTTTTTTACATATCTTTAGATGAAGTGTTCAAAGTGACACTTCATTCATGTCACTGTACAGCAGCGGAGTGTGCTATGATTGCTAGGTGGTGACCATGCAGAGTGATGCAATATTATGCATAAAATACTGCTCTGGAATGCAGTGTAACATTGAGTTCTGGTCTGAACATGACATACATAGAAAACTATGGTTTTCTGTGTGTCAGTGCAATTACCTAAATTATTCCATGAGGAAAAAACGCACATAGTGTGAATGGGCCTTAAATGACACCGCAGTTTATCTTATTTGGTGCTCAATTACAATAATTAAAC